CCCGTAGATGCCTGTGTGGGTGTCGGCGCAGGTGTGGGTGTGGGTGGCTGTTGCTGTGGGTCTTGGTGTGGGTGCCGGTGCGGATCTGCGTGTCGCTGGGTGTCGGCGTGGTTGTGGATGTGGGTCTGCGCGAGTATTGATGCGGATGCGGGTGTCGGTGTGGCTGTGGCAGCAGCTATCGCTGCGGCTGTGCGTGTGTGTGTGGCTAAGGATCTGCGTCTACGTGTGGCTGTGTGCGTGTGCGCATTACCAAAACTTCAACACACACACCCTACAACCATACCTCACACTGACCCACACCCCACAAACACACGCACATACCGACACCCCCACCCCCACCCAAACCCACATCCACATCCACACACTTACCCACACACACCCACACCCCCCCACACCCACACACACACTTGCACACACACACACCTATCCAAATATCACACCCCACACCAACACGCACACCCGCTCATTCCGTCTAATTCCTCTTTCAAGCGAAGCCCGGAATTCCGTTGGGGAATTGAATGCATACAGTAGAAGTGAGCGATGGTATTAATGCAACGAATAAATGATTCCGGAAACGAACTGAATTACATGGAATTCCATATAATTCCGTCTAATTCTGTCTAATTCCTCTTTCAAGCGATTCCGGACGTCCGTTGGGGACATAAATGGATACTCTCGAAGTTAGCGATGGTATTAATGCAACAAATAAACCATTCCGGAATCGGACGAAATTACATGGAATTGCATGCAATTCCGTCTAATTCCGTCTAATTCCGCTTTGAAGCGATTCCGGAATTCCGTTGGGGAATTGAATGCATACACGAGAAGCGAGCGATCGTATTATTCCAATGAATAAATGATTCCGGAATCGAACGGAATTACATGGAATTGCATGCAATTCCGTCCAATTCCGTCTAATTCCTCTTTCAAGCGATTCCGGAATTCCGTTGGGGAATTGAATGGATACACTAGAAGTGATCGATAGTATTAATGCTACGAAATTATGATTCCGGAATCGAACGAAATTACATGGAACTGCATGCAATTCCGTCTAATTCCGTCTAATTCCTCTTTGAAGCGATTCCGGAATTCCGTTCGGGAATTGAATGCATACACGAGAAGCGAGCGATGGTGTTAGTGCAAGGAATAAATGATTCCGGAATCGAACGGAATTACATGGAATTGCATGCAATTCCGTCTAATTCCTCTTTCAAGCAATTCCGCAATTTCGTTGGGGAATTGAATGGATACACTGGAAGTGATCGATAGTATTAATGCTGCGAAATGATGATTCCGGAATCGAACGAAATTACATGGAACTGCATGCAATTCCGTCTAATTCCGTCTAATTCCTCTTTGAAGCGATTCCGGAATTCCGTTCGGGAATTGAATGCATACACGAGAAGCGAGCGATGGTGTTAGTGCAAGGAATAAATGATTCCGGAATCGAACGGAATTACATGGAATTGCATGGAATTCCGTCTGATTCCGTCTAATTCCTCTTTGAAGCGATTCCGGAATTCCGTTGGGGAATTGAATGCATACACGAGAAGCGAGCGATGGTATTATTGCAATGAATAAATGATTCCGGAATCGAACGGAATTACATGGAATTGCATGCAATTCCGTCTAATTCCGTCTAATTCCTCTTTGAAGCGATTCCGGAATTCCGTTGGGGAATTGAATGCATACACGAGAAGTGAGCGATGGTAGTAATGCGACGATTAAATGATTCCGGAATCGAACGGAATTACGTGGAATTGCATGCAATTCCATGTGATTCCGTCTAATTCCTCTTTGAAGCGGTTCCCGGAATTCCGTTTGGGAATTCAATGCATACACGAGAAGTGAGCGATGGTATTAATGGGAGGAGTACATGATTCCGGAATTGAACGGAATTAGATGGAAGTGCAAGCAATTCCGGCTGATTCGCTTTGATTCCTGCTCGATGGAATTCGCGGAGTTCCGGAATTAGATGATGTGATTGGAAGTGATTCCGGAATTGTTGGGAAATGGTTGATTGGATTCCGGAATCGTATTGATGTCTGTGTGAGCGGAATTGCGGAATTGGATGGAATCGATTCCGGGGCGGAACTGATTCCAGCAATGTGCAACATCGCGGAATAGGATGTATTCTCTAATCTATCAGTTTATATAGCGAAAAATAACTTAGACAACATCATTTTTCACTTTTTTTAGTCCTTGCGTGATGTACTTAAATTTTCGCTTTTGGTTTATTACTCTTTCTTTGGAAAAATCAATTTTTTGACACAAGCACTTTTTACGTTGGAAAGCATCATTTGGGACAATGCTTTAAACTTTACCTAAATAAAACCTACAGTTGAAGTTGATCTCACTGTTTGTAAATTTTTCACTTTCCAAAGTCATACCACTTTGACAAGTTTTAGCATGTTCACAAATGGCTTATGAGACTTTGTAAAATAAAGTTTGCGTTCAATCGTCCAAAACAGGTTTCAGACATTTTAACAAATTCATACAATCTCTTTAAAATACATTCACAAATCATTTCTGCCTCCATATTCAAGAAGCGCATAAAACTTTTATTCATAACGAACATTTCGTAACTTGGGTACAATACTTCCAAAAAAAACGAGAAATTTGGATCCATATGTTTCATCTATACTACTTTTTACAATATTTTTCGAAATTCCTACAATATTGTCGAGCTATAACCTATACGAATACGATGAGCTCGAAATTCTGACTTCTACTAACTAAATGTAACTCGCACTTCTTGTTTTCGAACAACTAAAAAGGCTAGCGAATATTTTGTTCCGAAATTCTTTTGACAGGCGTTAAGAAGAGAATCAAAATTGTGACTAAATTGATTCAAGTTTCGAATCGATAACTATGCTATTGCCACACGATCTCCTAAGATTAAAAATATCAAAAACTACTCGTCTTTCATTGGCTGGTTTCCTTGTTTTTGGCGTATTTGTATTTGATCATCTTTTCTTCAGACAAATTTTCGAAGGAAAAAAATGGGCTCCGGCAATAGCGTCAATATTGCCATTAGTCTTGATCGAATAAATCCATTCTTTCATGCGGGTGACGTGGTATCTGGAACAGTCAATGCAGAAATAATGAAAGAGCATGTCAAGGTTGATCAAGTATTTGTTGTGTTGAATGGCGAAACTGGTTATACAACAACTCGTACTGTTAATCAATCAGACGGTTCAATAAGTACTTTTCATCAGCCAGGCAGCGCAACAAGTACAGAAACTGAGTATCATATATCACGATTTTTTTCAGAAAAAAGAGTCTTGGAAGGTCCAGGACTATTAATGAAAAATTCAAGTAATTTTTCCGGACAATATTCATGGCGATTCAGTTTTCAATTGCCACTTCAACTTCCACCGACCATCAATAATCCACAGAACTATCCGCATGCTCGATATTACTTGAATTGTGTAATTGATAAACCTTGGTATCAACGAAACGAAGCAGAAAACCTCTATTTGACAGTTTTTCCTCGTGTCAATCCATCGAATCACCTGGAGTATTTGACGCCATCTATATTTGGTAATCATAATCGAAAAGATGTTATTCTTAAAGTCAATATGAAGAAGTTGGTCTATGTATCTGGTGAAACAATTACGGGAACCTTAGTATTCGAAAATCCACAAAAAATTACATTGAAACACATTTATTTAACTCTGATTCAACATTATCGAATTGAGTGTGCCACGGGAACAGAAATTATTGTCCAAACAACCATACCTACAATTGTTCACACAAAGGAAACACAGATTATGGAAACATTTTCTGTACCGATTCCTTTTGGACTTTTGCCACCGTCGTATCAATTTCATGGTGGCTTTCCCCATACGTCTAAAGTAAATGTCAATTATGTTCTAGAAATCGAAGTTAAAGCCAACGGTATATTTACAAATTTCGATGTCAGTATACCCATTATAATAGCAACTGAATCTGGCACACAACCGAATCAGCATCAGGTAAACTACGACACCAACTTTTTATCTAATTCTTTATATTAATATCCTGGAACAACCAATTATTATTCCGTTTCACAATAAACTAGATGGATTCTAATATATATAATACACTAAAATTTTCATGTCTATTATGAACTAATTTATTAACATATTAAATAATAAAAAATTTTCTCCAACTATCTGCATTCTTTTCTTTTCATTTGAGGATATTAGTGAATTGTAGAAGTGTGCGAATGAAAATAAGGATATGTTTATGAGTAGATGTGATAGAATGAGGTGAAGTTGCATGTATGCGTATGAAGATATAGGGTGTGGGTGTGGACATGGGTGTGATTGTATCGTTCCGGCGTGACTGAAGACAAGACTCACATCTATATCCACACTCGATTCTTATCTAAACCTATACAGGAGCAAATATGCATGTCGACAAGTATGGGGAAGTACGAAGAAGTATTAAAAGTATGGGGAAATATGAAGAACTACAAGAAATACGAAGTATGCTAGTTTTTCCCGTGTCTTTTATTTACTGTCAAAAATTGAACAATCATTTTCGACCACATCAATACAATGCAAAACCTTTGTGTATTGAATATTCATATTCAAGAAAAAGTTTAGTTTAGCGTAGAGCTATCTGAATCTAGCAAAGTGAATCGTGTTGACTGATTGGAAGATCATATGTCATTTATGTACTCGATTATAAACCGATAAGATACATAGTATCTACATTAAAAAACTTTTTTTTCTTATTTTATTTATAATACAATTGTGAGTATTCGGATATTTTTAGTTAAGGACTACTTAGATCCCATTCATGCGATCATTTTTTTTATATCAAATTTAGTTTCGATGTTTTAATTTCATGAAAACATTACAAGCTTCTGTCAAATATTATTACAGTTTACACTAATTGTTAGGTACTATTTGTCTTTAAAAAGTAGTTCGACCAGTGTGAGCTCTCTGCTTTGAAAGTTGAACATAGACATACTGTAAACTAAGACCAACTGGCAGGGTGTGGGTGTGGGTGTGGGTGTGAGTGAGTGTGTGTGTGGGTGGGTGTGGGGTGTGGGTGTGGTTGTGGGTGTGGGTGTGTGCGGGTGTTGAGTAATACTCATACTTACTTCCACACCCACACACTTACACCCACACCCACCCACACCCACACACCCACACCCCACACCTACACCCACCCACACCCACACACCCACACCCCACACCTACACCCACCCACACCCACACACCCACACCCCACACCTACACCCATCCCATAATTTAGAGCAACTATATGGATGAAAATATTCTCAGTTAATGATTTTTATGTTTGGATTGATCATTTTTATATCAACTTATATAAGTCAAATAAGAACATAAAAAGCATAAATTGTCAAGAAAACAAAAATGTCGAGCTTTTTATCTCATGTATAGACATAACCGATGAATATGACCTTTGATATATGAATATTTCAATTGTAATACAATGACGATGGTTGTATATTTCTTCTTCAACCACACTCGCACACCATCATCCACACTTACACCCACACACCCATACCTACTAAAAGGAGTACATTTGTTTGAACTAATTATAGAATTAGAGTATTTTAGAAAATTTTAGTTTATTCTTTATGATATTGTTTTATTTATAAGCAGATTCGGATAAATTCAAAACATAAGCATTTCTGTAAGATACGAACATTGAATACATAGAAAATGGAAAAGTAGACAAGAGAAATATTGTTTCAATAAAAGATACAAGTGAAGAGACTAATAAGACAACACAAATACAGGTATTATTGCTGTTTTAAAATTATTATAATATAGAGAAAATTGAATGTTTTGTAAAAATGAACAAGAAAACTATTTCAGATAATTCAAGAGAAGTAAAAAAGAGAGCATTGTGAAAGATTTGTGCGAATAAGCAACTTTTCAACTGAAAAAAGAAAATTTCATATATATGTAAAGAGCACTATTAAAAAGCCATTATTAATGAGATAAGCATATCTACTTTGATAAAGTCAGTTTTATAATATTACCATGTGCGCAATAGAATTCCCACTTCGTTTTTTCCATAATTAGTTACGGCGATGTCAAGCCAATTATCATTGTTAAAATCACCGACAGCTAATCCATACGGTTCACTGTTTGCTCTAATCGAAAACTTCTGTTGTAATTGAAAAGTCCCATCACCATGTCCCAGCAAGATACTAATAGTAGATTCCACTACATTAGGTACCACTATATCCAAATGACCATCACTATCTAAATCAGTAATAGTAAAGAAAAAACTCCAAGTACTATTTCCTACAGGAAAAGTGGCCTGTGTACCAAACACTCCATTTTCGTTTCCAAGAAAAATACCCACATTATTATCACCGCTATTAAGAACAGCGATATCCAGATAGCTGTCATCATTAAAATCAGCAACACTTATCCAACTTGGTTTAGTACCAACGAGAAAGGTTGTTTGTGCTTGAAAGGTACCATTTCTAATGCCAAGAAATATACCTACCTTGTTAGTGCCATAGTTAACCGTAGCCAAATCCAATTGATTATCATGATTAAAATCACCAATAGCAACCGCATATGGCCGACTACTGCTTCCAGTTGAATATGTACTTTGAATCGTGAAAGTGCCATCACCATTTCCCAGAAACACGCCCACTTTGCTAGTTCCGTAATTGGCAACTGCAATATCCAATCGATTATCGTTATTGAAGTCTCCGACAGCAACAGCATTGGGTTTGCTATTAGCTCCAGTTGACATACTGTATTGTGCCTGTAAAGTTCCATTACCATTTCCAAGAAGAACAGTAATATTCGAACCGCGATAATTAGCAACAACAGTATCTAGTCGTCCGTCATTATTGAAATCAGCAACAGTAATGGCTATCGGTTGAATATTGTTACCGACTGAAAATATTCTTTGTGTCTGAAATGTGCCATTTCTATTTCCAAGAAGCACACCGACGCTGCTATTATCATAATTTGCAACCACAATATCTAGATAACTGTCGCTATTGAAATCTCCAATTGCAGCTGCAATTGGTCCGAGTAAAACTGTGGTAGTGTATGAAACCAATGATTGAAAGGCAAGTTGACGAACTGAACCTGAAAAAAAAAGAAGTTTTAAATTAATTGTTAGTCAAAAGCATTGTTTTCATTTAAAGATCAAAAATATTTAATACATTGATGAATTATCACAGGTCATCTTGCTTTTTTATTATCTGTAAGCTATTTAGTTATAAGAATAAAAGGAAATACTAAAGTTTTTCTTAAAGCTAAAAACCATGCAGATCTATTTTTAATACATGGTTCTTTTATGCTGACTTAGCTGAAGTACACTATTTATGTAATATCAACCTTTTCCAATGTTTCTCTATAGAAGATTTTGAAGTTACCTTTTTTCAAATATACTAAAGAAAAAATATCAAGAAGTCTGAAAGATCTCAACTTGTTGTCCTTAAATATGGGCGGAACGATTCTAACTGTATCAAGAGTAGATACGCAGCAGAACTGAATGTAATGGCGGTTAGTTCCGCTCATATCTAATTGAACCTTGAAGAAGGAGAATATTATCGATTATTAGGATGTTATTATACTAGGAAAGCATTTCAAACTTATAAAGTTAGTAGAGAGTTATTTGCAAGCTCTACTGATAACGTTCATACCAATCTCATAACAAGGTTTGGAAAAAAATGATTTTGATCACATATAATTGTCCCACTTGCAATATGTTTCTTGGAGATTTCTCAAACATCAAGAGTAGTAGAGTTTATGTGACAGAGGTAAAATAGTATCGATCGAACCAAATTATAAAAATCTAGTGCTTCAACTATCACTTGCTATGTATGTTTTAATAAAAATATGATGTGGTTTTAAGGGGGAGAGGGCCCTCAGAAATGATTTCCCACTTAGAATGGGTCTTTTGAGCTGAAAATTTCAGGGATGAGTGATCCTGGAGAGATACGCCTCTAGTAAAAATTTCAGCTCTATAGGTCATACTAGACCGGATTTCCACCTGATTCATAGGCCATTTTTGGCATTCAGGAGGATCTGAATAACTTCATTGCAATACGAGTTATAGAGCTCGGGGTGGTTTCAAATTAAACCCAATGTTAGTACGCAACTTTACATCAACCAGAATTTTTAAATTCCATATTGTTCATTTTTTATGAATATTTTAGTAGCCATGTGTTTAAAAAAGCATAAAAAACAGCGATCTGACGACAGTAAATTTCACTTTTCTCAGCCCAGGAATCGATTTTAAAAAAACTGGTTGAGGAAAAGTTTCCTCTCATTGAGACCTTTAAAACAAAACAAAAAAATATGTGTTATATCTTGAACCGAGCGTGAGTTATCTCAATTTTTCTGATTGAAAACCATGTTCTGAGACAAACGAGAAAGAAGTTTTAGAAATGAATTTTTTTCATTTAAATCCAAAAAAAATCATATTAAAATGGCATATTTTCAATATATTTCATTGAAATTTTTTAAAGCGCGTAACAGATGGAAGAAGCTAGCGTCATCTGTCATGCTGGGTAATATAAAAATGTTCTACTCAATACTAATGCAAGTGGCAACGTATTTTTTCCAAAACTGAAAACCTTTAAAAACCACGAAAATTTCTCGGAAAATATGGTGGTAGACTCCAAGTTTCATGTGATAAGTCTTTGAAAATCTGATCATTTTCCAAAAAGTCATATATATTCTGAAAGAGGAAGCTTCGCTGCATCTTCCTATGATAAAAACTCAACTTTGATATTTCTTTGAAAAATTGGATTTTCGAGGGTGGAGGGGGGCCCTTAATCTACGAACCTGATGAAGTAGACATCATCGCAACAAAACTAGTGATCGTTAGATTTACATATCTGTCAACTATAGATCGGTCTTTGTGATTTCAATTTGAGTTTAAAAGAAAATAAATGCGGAAACTTCGGATTTAAATCCGAGAGTTATGTGTACTTCAAAAAGTGAATCATACGAATCAGTCATCCTAGAATATCTCAACATCAAAATTATACTGGGGAACCTACCATTTAAAATGTTGATTTCTATTGCGCGTTGCCAAACCAATAGGACATGGGACCGAATACAGCTCAAGTTTGAACTCTTTTCCTTGATTTACCCTCACAAAGGCGTTTTTCCTATAACTTGATTTCCATTGGTCACTGCACAACCAATAGTATTTCGATGGGAGTGCAGTACACATTCGAGTTCTCCATCTCTGAAAACCTCGAAGTATCATCAATGTGATCGGAAGATAGAGCTCTATTTATGGATCAATTAGATCGTGGACCAAAATATAATCTAGTTCTCTTTAATTATCCTTGTGATAGGTGAGTCAATCTTCTTGCTTCTTTATGTTTTATATATCGTTTTGTAGCTCTTGAAATTCTCTATCGAATGGTATATAATAGTTGGGGTTTTAATTGACTATGATAGGAAAAGTCTTTTACGAAAGTCGCGATGGGTCCATTTTTCCACAGAAGGCTATAGGGAAAAATAGGTATTTTTTCAATAACTCAGGAATGGCTCGGCCGGTTCTTCTCATCTTCGAACTCGACCGAGATATTGTCAAGACTAAGCTGTATAGAAAGTTTCATCGCAATCTGACTCTGCTGTCAAAAGTTATCATGTACACAGCCAACCGGACGGATGAACACACTGACTATGCTATAGTGTACTCACTTTTTGAGTACACAAAACTATGATTCGGTTCAAAACTAATATCAGATTCAGAATCAGCGTTAAAAACTGAGTCGATTTATGTATTTTGTGAATAATTATGAGCAAAAAATTTTTTTCGAAAAATCCCCGTACCCCCCCTCAGGGATGGTCTGGTCAAAAATCACAATTTTTTCGATAACTCAGCCATTTCTTGACGGATCCTTCTCATCTTCGAACTCGACCGAGATATTGTAAAGACTGAACTGTGCAGAAAATTTCATCGTGATCGGACTCTCCTTTCGAAAGTTATCGTGTAAACGGCCGGACGGCCGGACATACTGACCGATTCTAGTAGTGTGCTCACTTTTTGAGTACCCTAAAAAGAGCGCTCAATACAGACTTGCAGCCGGTAGGATTTTTTTCTTTACCGATATCGGTTTAACCGGCCAGATCGACCGGTATACAGACATGAATCATCCTTCACTTTTCTCACTCTATAGCTGTCAAATCAAACCCTCATTTAGTCATATCTGCCACTAAATCACTACAGTAATAACATTAGAGTTCTTTTTCACAACTATTGCGCTTTTCACTATGTTTTTACATATGCTTTTTTTTCTTGGCATCAGTCGATAAACAGAACACTTCATAAAACTACAGATTCCATATACCAGCAATTTCATTTAAGTCCCGATCTATCTTACCATAGTGAAACGCTTAATTACAATCTTAGATTTTCGTCAAATTTGTTGCATCTTGTAGTGCATGTTGTTTTATTTATACATCCAAATTTTAGCGTTATTAAAGATCTCCCTACCGAGATATGGGGATCTCTGTACCAATTTTTTCAACGGAGCCTTCTAAGATTTCTATTGAACTACAATAAATAATTATCTTTTCGACAAATTTTCTCCGAAAACATGGATGGTATATCACGCAAACATTTTTCGAAACACTACCGAACTAAGAGCAGTTGAAAACAAAAGTTCGGAATCGCTAATTGAGCTAAATCGATCGTGGCTTATGTTGCCTGGCTGATAAAATTTGTGCTCTAATTGAATATTCATTAGATATGGACATTATGAATTTATCGTTTACTTCATGCATTTCACGTTAGAGATGAAATCGGTCTGGATTTTGAGTAGATGCCTAATTTGAGTTCAAATATAAATGAAGTTTTCAAAATTTCATAGATACTTGTACGGCTAAAGCCAAAGACAAATTTTAACCCGATTATAAGATTATTAATTATCTACGCTGTCCTATTCACACGGCCAAAAAGCCATAGATAAATTTGTATCTCAATTATAAACTGTAAATTATATAAGCAGTCATGTTATAAATGGCTCAAAAGCCAACGATCAAATTTTATGTCAATTACAGTTATAATTACGACAAAAATAATGTTTGTCACGTGTTTTTCTTCTCACCTTCATTCTGACACCTTTACCTTGATTAATCCTTTTCCCCATGCTAAGCACTCCACTTTCTTCTCCCGTACATTACGCATGCATACTAAAATAAAATGTGTCGTATATATGTGTCGTACAAGAATGTGTCGCAGACTCCATTATAAAAATGTGTCATACAAAATGTATCGCATTATAGATGTGTCATAGCCTATATGTCAATCGTTCATTCACCGTTTTGTTTCGCGAGTGCAGCTGCATATAACCGAGCCTATTGGACGTACTTGACTTATATATTTTCGTATGTCTTTTTTTTCTAGATTATTTTTCGACCATTTATTATTCGAGAACACGTCGAGAGATCGCTAGATGATCGAGAATGGACTGCCTCGAAGTAGTCTGATCGAGGTCAAATGGTCTCGAGATAGCTACTCAAGCAGACAAACTTTTGAGAAAAGGCGTTTAAACGCACAGAAATTGGCCTAAAATCAGCAAAAGTGGACGTTTTTGGCTCACACTTGAGGTTCTCGACTGTGAGCCAAAAACGCCCATGTTTCGGCCTTTTTGTGCGTTTAAACGCGTTTCCAGACAAAATACGCGTTTAAACGTATACAAAAAAGAGAAAAAGTGGTCGTTTTTCATACTCGGGATGCACAATCATGATTACAGTCCCGTTTCTTGAACTGGAAAAACTCAACAACTTTTTTCTCTTTTTTGTATGCGTATAAACGCGTTTAAACGCACAAAAAGGCCGAAAAATGGGCGTTTTTGGCTCACAGTCGGGAATCTCAAGTGTGAGCCAAAAACGTCCACTTTTTGCTGATTTTAGGCCAATTTCTGTGCGTTTAAACGCGTTTTCTCAATAGTTTGTCTGTCTGGGTAGATCTTAAGATCTACCATCTTGAACTCCAAGAATAGGTGCTACTATTTGAAATTAACTGAAAAAATAGTAACTATCCGAATTTTCAAAAAAAATAATCCTCGTGCCGAAAAATGGATTCGAACTACGTGTTTAAAATGTGCCGCATGTGTCGCACAAGAATGTGTTGTAAGTCCGCTGGAAGAAATGTGTCGCATATTAATGTGTCGTACATTGTGTCTCAAAGTACGACACATGAGACACATTTTATCTTAGCGTGTGCACCGAGTCCGAACTTTCTGGGTTCGGTGTTCCCAGTACCTATAACACTAGATTCAATTATTCATGTGCCTTGGTCTACATCATAGCTGGGCAACTGAATTCAAAACAAAGGAAATTTCAATTCATTTCAACTCAACTCAAATCAATTCAATCTAGGAATTCGGCCCAATTTAATTAATAAAGTTCTTATATGTCATTGAATGGAAAAGAATAGACAAAAATATCAAAGATTAACGTAGTAAATTGAATTGGAGTACCCATTTTCCTTGTATCAAATGTGATGGATTATTTTTGTCTATGAATTGAGTTGCCAAGCTTTGGTCTACATTAGACATCAATACAAGCCGGGAATGACTGAACTCGGGATTCTCGGTCTGTATCCGGGTTCGGCGCATGCCTACTGTACATAAAGAAAAGCTTTAAATGAATTCTAATTCATAATTCATCCAAAAATTTATCTTTCGCTGTTTGACTATTGGAAGAGGAAAGTGCTGCTTCTTTTTTTTTATTTATTTTCCAAATGGCATGAAGGAGTTAGAGCGTCATTTATATTCGAACTCGAATTAGACAACTCATGTAAAAACAAAAAAATTAGTAAGATAGACGGTCAGTCTGAAATTCCTACCAGTACCGGTCCCATTTCTGTTCTACGTGATATTCAGTTTGATATTCTTATGTCTGTGTAAAGCATATGCTATAAATAATAGGAACTACAGATAAATCTATGACAAATTACAATGCTACCTAATTATTTGATTTTGTTTTGATAATGTAACTTGATATTGAACTGAGTTCATAAATATATTAAGAGTACTATGACGAATTT